CGGAATTCCCAAGTGCTGCAATGGGAAATTGCAAAATCATGTTCCTTATTGAAATTGATGTAGGGCGCTAGGAATTCGGGGCGAAAATCCATTATTAGGTGGTTCAACCTGCACAGCTGTTAATAAATTTACACTCTTGGTGGTTTATCTAATAAAAATTTGCAAATGATTGATTATAGTTGGTCATCCAAAAGCAAATGTCATTTGCAATATAGTTTGCATCCCACCTAGATTCATTTGATTATTAGTTTCTATAGATTTTTGAATTGTTTTTCCATTTTTAGAAGTGCACTGCATCCCTGCATGAAATCACAATAGATCAAACTAATATCACATATCAGTCTCACCCATCCTTAGTCCATAAACAGACGAACACACGCACATGAGTGCGACGAAGGGCTTGTCAGCAGGCCATCGTTGTCGCCGCGGGCTCTCACACATAAGTGCACTAAGAACAAAAAAGGTAACAAGAATATCAAGACAGTAAGAATCTTATAATATCGAGAAGGATTAAAGAAAATTTCAACAATGCTGCAATACAATTTCTCGGCTTTTCAAAAGCTGCAACTTTCATTGAGCAATGGCCAGTTTTTGTGTCATATCAGTTTCTATTATTTGTTTAATTCTACATTTTAAGTTGATTTTTGTTGCAGTGTACCCATACCAGTGGAAGTTTGAAGCTGCAGGCGTTGTCGCCGTAGCCGTCTCCTTCTCACCATTTTTCATTTCACTGCGCCGCTGCACATGGCTGTCAACTGCCAGGCCAAGACGCAGATGGAGATGGCGGAGGAGATGGGAGCGGAGTCTAAGCCGTCCGCCAGTTCAGATGCAGCTTCCCTGGACTGAGTCCTTCGAAAATGAAGGAGGGGGTGGGTAAGAGAGGAGGGGAGACGCGCGCCCGCATATCGATTTCAGCGCATTGTGCCCTGTTTGCATACAAATATCCTAAGGACATGTCACAGAGACGCACTGTGCGGCCCGATGTCCTCCTCCCCATCCCCGGTCCCCGATCCCCTTTTCCCTGCCCCTGGCACACGTACGCATGTAAATTGTATTTGTGTGTGCGGCGGGGAAGGGGGAGGGGTAGACACACTCGTATTTAGATCCCCCTCCACTCCACTCCACCGCTCCTTTTTAGCTTTAGATCCTTGAGCTGCTTGTGCTTGATTTCATTTGCTCGGGCAATTGTCTTCGGCGGCGTCTGCCTCGACTTTATTTTTCCCGAAAACTTCCACACAAAATTCGAATTCCTCGCTCTTTGGCAACTTGTCAGGCAGCCATTTTTTTCGAACGAAAAAACTTCTGATACCCAATTCGCCTCCACCGCCCCCCCCGCATCACTTTGTTGAGATCCTGGTGCATGCGGAAGGACCTTTGTGCTTTTGTGCGTCTCGTCCTCCTTTCACTGCCACAATGCGAAGACAGCGAATTGGCCTGCGAAGCTGCCTGCCTGTGACATTTGATGTTTAATTTCAATAACTCAGTGCTCGCATTTTGAATTTTTTCCCTTCATCTGCCCTCGGAATGTGTGTGTGTGGAGTTGATTGGCCATGGAACTGAAGGGCCGTGAATCCCCGATTCCAATTATAGCTGTCCAAAATAAAGACGAGTGCAAATTACACAAATTTTACTTGCTATCGGCAGCCAGAGCAGAAGACTTCGCACTTGAAATTTGTTTGCGGAAAGTACTTGGGGGTTTGATAAAAAAAGTAAAAATTTAAGATTGGAAAATTTAAATAAATCAATCAATCATTGGGAACTCTCTTCAATTCACTAAGGTGAAATATTTGAAAACTTTATTGTTTATTCTATAGTTTTTATTTCTATCTGCTTTCTAAGATTTTTTGTGAAAAGTGATTTTTTTTTAATCGAAATTTTATTTTAATGCCCATAAAATTCTTTATACATTCTTTAACAGCTCCCCGCTGCATTTACATTCGCATTTTAAAATTGATTTAATTCCTACACCAGTTATCGCACACAGACTAGATTTATTTTCAAATTTCCTTCGGTTTCCATCTGTTGAAATGCATTCCCCACAGTCTTTGTTATTCCCGGAAATTCCCCCCTTTCCGAATTTCCAATATTATAATAAATGCCTCAAAATCCAATTACTTTACCACAATGTCCGAAATATATTTTGATTTCGTATACCCTCCATCCCCTTCCCTTTTCATCAATTTTTGGGCCCTTGGCTTTTGTGGTCGACGCTAAACCGCTGGTGCAGCATTCAAAAAGCCGAAAACCGTAAAACGCAAGTTGCAGCAAACAAAGAACTCATGCGGCTTGCAATTGTGAAAGGTCAACATTCATTTTTGGGGGTTTTTCACTTTTCCTTTTTCCCCATTATTCGGCTCAGCGGGGCATCGAAAACCGAACGGAATCGAAGCGAAGGGAATGGAAATTCCGGGCGGGAGGTGTGAAAATGCCAAAACAGATGGACACGGAAACGGGGAAGCAGCACATTTCATTGACTGACTGCTGCTGGGAATTAATTGAGGCAGCTTGACAGCTGCCCTGGCCCCTAACCTCTAACCAGGTTCCAGAAAGGCCCTTCCACCCAACCTGGCTTAAAGCTGCTCTTAAAGCCCGAACAACCCAGCGGGAGGCTACCGAACAGAGTTGTCAGCTTGAGCCCGTTGCCAGCTGTTAATGAGCATTCAACTGGCTAATTAATTTTATACATTTATTAAACTTTGCCCCTCGCTCAGTCGCCACCATCCCACAAACTATTTACCATACAAATCTAATTTTATCAACTTTGTCTTTGGCCGCTTAACTAGCTGAGCAGTCCTGTGTCCTGTGTCCCGTGTCCTGTTGGCTCCTCCTGTCCCGCCGTCGTTTCCTTTCCCTTTCCCATTTCCATTTCTCTACGGCTGGCAACAGGACTCCTTCGCCCCGACTCCTGTCAAAACATTGTGACACAGTTCTGCTTTCTTACAATTTGCCCCGCTCTTTATTTAGCCACGTTTGTTACGGCTTGCGCCATTCTCTTGGCTCATTAACGTTGGCCTTTGTTTCGTCCTGTCATCGTTGTCGTCTGCGAAAGCAGGAAAACCATGGAAAACCAGGAAAAGTAAGAAGGAGATGGAGTAAGCCAGATGGAGCCGAGCCGAGTTGAGTCGAGTTGGGTCGAGTCGAGGCATCCTGCATCTATCGCCTTTGTGCGGTGGCCTTTGTAATTTATAAAAGTCCACCGAACGGTCTTCAGCCATTCCTAATATCAGTCGAGCTGGCTGGCTGGCTGGCTGTTGGATGGCTGGCTAACTGGTTGGCTGGGGCATGTAAATCAGGTCAAAACAATGCAACTGACAGTGAATTGTGCTCGGTTGTCGTCCTTCCACTCCCCATTCATTCCCCCCTGGCAGTTGGCCACCCCTTTGCCACAATGACACATTCAGGACTTGAACAGTTTTACTTCATTATTGGTTACTCAGCAATTCATTCAGAGGACACACCTTGTGTCTGTGCAAGTGTCCCTGCTCGGGCGCCTCGCATTGCCCTTTTTATGGCCATGTCCTTTGCTTATCCTGCCTGACTAATGACAAGCAGTGGTAGCTGGGCAGCCAATTCGCCGATCCTCCGCTCCTCAAGTCCTCTCCTCTCCACTGCTTTTTCCATCGGCCTTTTGTCAACCACTTTGGCTCGACTTCGAATCGTCCTTTCGGAGGACTCTCCTCCTTTTTGTTTCTTTGGCGAATCGCCCGACTTACATGGAGGGGCACAGGACTAAGTGGGCGTGGCCGGGCACAAAACAGGATCCAGCTTCGACTTGGACAGGTGCTCCCTCTCTCCATAACAAAGGCATAAATTATTTGTGCTGTCAACATGGCTTCCTCGCTCCTGTAAATGGCAGTTGGCCTGCGAACTGGAGCTTATTGTTTGTCTATTGATTTGAATTTGCCCAGGAATTATGCAAGTTATTTTATATCTGTGTCCCCTTCCCCGGCCAGTCGGCAAACAAATGTTTGTCGGGCGGGGGGACTGATGGATGTTTAATTGTTATGGATAGTCACAGCGGACTTGGGCAATCTGTAGCTTCAATTAAAAACGTCTGCAGATGAATGGGCAAATATATATTGGGTCACCTTCCAAGGTATTGATAACTATCGGGTTGTAGTTATTAAAACAAACGGGTAGGCAAGTATTAAACTGTGTAATATTATAACTAATTTTTGTAATAAATGTCATCCGAATATTCGATATATATCTATTTATAATTAAATTCAAATGTAATTTTACATTTATTTAAGCAGTGACTGGCAACAACCTAAACAACTGATAGATTTTATCGATGAAAGCTCAGCAAAGCAAATGAAAAACATTTGCCAATGACAAATTAATCTAGTTACAAAACATTTTAATCACACTAACATTAATGAACTTTTAAATAACTTTCACTAATTTACTATTTCACAAAACGCTTTACAAATGACCAAAGTTATGAGTTACGCTTCGAAACAAATTTTTGGTTGCAAGGGCTTTGCTAATTTGGTAAATTATTCAGAGCCGACCTTCGTCTGTGCTGTCGACAGGCTGGGAAATATTGCCATGATTTTGCGAGATTAAAAGCCTTCCAAAATATCAATTGGGGATTCGGCAATGGCCAGGCCGAAACAAATGGCATGCAAATCAATTGGGCAAGTGTGAATGGCTTAAACAAAGGCCGAAAATTGTCAAACTCTGACCGCATCTAAATACAATAAATGAATAATTGATTCGATGTGAGGGGGCTGGCAACTAATTGCGACTAACTTTGCTGATTTTCGTGTCCACCTCCCAGGCCATTTGCCTCCAAATTGCAAATGGACTGATAATGGAATATAATTACAATCGAAAAGGGAAATTCTATTGTGTAGTAATTGTCTGTATTGTGCGTAATCAAATTCTGATTCATCTCGCAAAAAGTTTAATTGCCTTAATTGCATTCCCTATGATTCTGAACCGAACTGATCCGCTATAAAAGCCGCAGATTTCGAGCAGATGACCAACAGTCGAGGCTCTCGAGTGAATCCCGGAAAAGCTAAACAAACACAAAACTCAACATGAAGTTCGTTCTATTCTGTGCTTCCCTGGCGGTTCTTTTGGCCATGGGTCAGGTATATTAATCACTCACTTATTGTTTTTTCATTTCTAATCAGGGAAATCTATCTTTTAGTGCGATCCTGACTTCCGGCAAATAATGCAGCAGTGCATGCAGTCCAACCAGGTGACCGAAGCCGATCTTAAGGAGTTCATGACCAGCGGCATGCAGGGCAACGCCAGCGAGAACCTCAAGTGCTACACCAAGTGTCTGATGGAGAAGCAGGGTCATCTGGCCAACGGTCAGTTCAACGCCCAGGCTCTCCTCGATACCCTCAAGAATGTGCCGCAGTTCAAGGACAAGATGGAGGAGATTGCCTCGGGGGTGAATGCCTGCAAGGACATGAAGGGCACAAACGACTGCGACACGGCCTTTAGGGTCACCATGTGCCTCAAGGAGCACAAGGCCATGCCAGGACATCACTAAGGATCCCCTGGCATCGTACTACTCATTACAAGCTGATGAGCCACGTTGCACATCTCAGGTGAATGTTGTGAAATAAAGTTGTTCAAGTTGCACTAAAGCAAATTTAAATTTCTGTCATGAAATTAGGGATATAGTGTAGTACAGTCATATACGATTTTAAAACTTTACAAGTAGAACAAATTTCTCTGGTGATTGATTAAAATTCTACTTTTTGTAGAGTTTCCAGAACAAGTCAACCAATTAAATTGAAATATTTCGACCACATTTCCACCTTCCTAACCTTGCTCAAAACCCAGCTCAAAATAAAAATTCCCTCGAAGGCCCAGAATGATAGGCCAAGAACTACATTACAGAGCCAAAGAGTTGACTTTGCTGTCGCACTCCGTGATTTATCAACTCTCGGTGTTCTGGGAAGCAGCCATTGACAACCTGTTTCCTTCGAGCCACCACAAACGTAGTCTACGAAAATCATTTGTCAATTTTAATAAGTTTAAAATCAAGATAATTAAAAGAGAAGTTCGAAACAACGGGCGCTTGGCAACGGAGGAGGCAGGATGAGCGACGGGATGCGGGGATGGAGAATCCTTTCCTTTTCTTTGGAACACTGTGACACCAATTACCGCTAATAAATCATTTCACGTGTGAGACCCCACCGCCTCCGTGCCTGTGAGCCGCCACTCCTGGCCTTTGGGTAACATATGAGCTGCGCTTAATGGCGAAATTCGGGACGGGCGGGGATCGAGAGCCAATGTAACCATAGAAGATGTAACATAAATCAACGCCGCAGCCTGCAGTGGAGGAAGACAAACGCGGTTCATTGCACTTGTCTGCCGGCGCAGTCGATACGATTCCCGGCTATCGGAGATGGAGTTGCAGTTACCAGAGGGCCTGAGACTGGGGACTTCTGGGGATCTGGGTGCGAGTGTGAGGAACCACGGGGCCGGCAGGTTGACAAGCCCCAGCGACATGAGACAACAGAATCTGAACGCTGCTAGTGAAAAGAAAGCCAAGAATTCTTTGAAGGACTCAGCCCAGCAGCAATGACAATTTGAAAAAGAATCCCTGCTTCTTGTTTGAATTGAAAGGTCGCCTTCGCAGTTGGAACTGGAGTTGGAGTTTGAGTTGGATGGGAGATGGTGATGGAGTTAAGAGTGGGGTTCGCAGTTGGGACCTGGACGTTGGGGCGTTGTCATGGCAGCCACATGCATACAAATTTTACCCACTTCAAATTGTGCAGCCCGGCCATGCATATAATGGCTTGGCCTTTTATCAACTAACAAATACCAGGCAACACAAAAAACTTTCCAACGATGGATGACTTCGGTCTATGGCGTTCCGGGGGTACAGGCGGCCAGTTGCACTGGAAAACTCAATTTGAATATTGTTCGGACGAAACAAGAAAAGAGCCGAGCCGAGGCGAGTCAAGTCGAAGCAAGATGGGCTCCAAGACGTACCACCACATGATGAAATGCAGTCAAGTTAAAAAGTGTCACTTGAGTTATGAGTTCATTGTTTGGAGTTACCAAGAGAGACCGGCCAGCCAGCCAGCCATCCGAGTGGATGGATGATGATGGAGCAGGCTTCCTTTCAATGGGATATTGTTGGGATTGGCCTGGTCGAAAGGGTTGCTGGGTGGCTCAGAGCTAAAAGTCGAATGACTAAGACGATTGCGGTGGCTTGGAAAGTATTCCGGCGGCTGTGTAGTTTATTGCCAAGTCAATCTGGCGGATAAAATATCTTTCGACTGGCTTTTTGTTTCAGCAGGGTGGTTCCGACTTAATTTGATCCCAGAGCTTCGATAGAGTTGTTCAAAAGCTAGAACTAATTTCGAGATGTGTTGAATCTGCAGAGAGGCATTCATCCCGCCCTCAAGCCGCACAATTGTCACCCCGAATTTTGGGTTATTTTCAACACTTGCTGGGTTTTCCCGGTACCACTTCCACTATCGCAGACAGGCGATCTTATTCGCTGATCCGCTGTCAAAGATAACGGGCGGGCGATAGGAAAATAATGGATATGGAAGCACAGACAGTCATATGAAATGAATTTCAATTTTGAAAAATTGCCTTCGAATGCCTGTGTGAAAGACGGAAATGTGACCCCAGCCCCTGGAACACTTCCCTCGCCCCTTGATGTTTCCTCTTTTCGAGGAGCGTGTGCCCAAATTAGAAAGCGAATGGAGGGGTTCGGGCAGCATTTACGGCCCGAATAAGTTGACACTTTAGTGGCTGTTCTTGCACATTATGTGCGGGTGCACGTTTCCCGCTCGGGAAAACTAACGGCACAGCACCGCTCAAGATGCACGGGCACGGCCCTTTGGATCAGATCCAGGTCCCGAAAACCAGATCTCGATCGCAGAACCCCGGTTCACACCGAAACTCCCGGGAGGGCACTCCGCCAGCCCCGACGAATTAACATATGCAAGAGTTTTATTGCTAAATCCTTATTATGTGGGAACTGGCCCAGTGTCTCATTGTCGGCTCGGCTCGGCTCGGAATTTAATTATCGGTTGCATGTCAACGCCTTTTCAATACCTTCATTATGCTCCTGGGTCGCAGTAGGGTCATAATTAAGAGCGCCTAAATATACATTTTTGGTGGATTCTAATTTTAATTGCCGCCACCGTCTATTTCGGTTTCTATTCATACGATACTATAGCTTATATGTATATATCTCCCACCGCCATGGTTACCTACGTTTGTTGAATGGAAAAGCAGATACGCGGTAACAGAAATTTTATTTAAATTACCCGGATGTTAACAATTTTCTGTCCATGATCTTTGATCGCACAGTAGCATTTGATTTATGAATATAATGTAAGGTTGTAGTTGGTTATGTGTAGCTACCAGCAACTGATCAAAAGTAACGGCTAGGCAAAACTCATGGGAAATTACTATTTTGTTTTCAAATGATTCAAAAAGGTTACACAAATTATTATTTTTATGGTTTAAATATTTTAATAAGCCAATACATTCAATGATATAAATTATCCAATTTAAAAGTTATTTATTTGTATTTATTTAAATAAGCATAATGATGTGCGTTTATAAGTTGCAATCAATCAAAATTATTTTCCACAGACTATTTATATGAAATCTATAATAACGAAGTCGCGGTAACAAATATTTGACAGAATTGTAAATAAAATACTTTACTCTCAAAATTTCCTAAACTCTTCTGCAAGCTTTAACAGAATTTCCAGCATTTTGATCTTACTAATCAATGGAGTGGTCCTCCAAAAAATTTCTTTCCACTTTTTTCCGCAGCAAGTGGCTTAAAACAAAACCAATTCCCCATGCCATATCAATGGCAGTCGAGTGTTTGTACATATCTCTCTGCCATCTCTTGCCCCGTGGAATTCCAGGAAAAAATATAGAAAAAAATCGTTGCCTAACCAACTCAACCGATTGACTGAGGGGGCCGAACTTAGTTGTCAATCAAATTGTCGCAAGGGCCACACGCAAATTTATTAAATCGATATGCCGTCAAAATGGAAAGTGGTTGGTATGGCAGGTCGGGGAAATGGGACGTAAGTCTGGGTTAACTGGGAAATCCCCGCGATGTCAGACAGTCGAAAGCCCAGTGCAAACATTTGCCTTGATTGCACTCGTTATCGACAACTCGCGATTCTCCATTGGCCTTGGCAATGCCGAAAAACAAATATTTGAATGTCGTGAAAAATTGAACAGTTGTGGGTGGAAAATGTTCGAAGCGAAGAACGTCTGCATAAACTTATGGTTATTACAGGCGATTTTCTAAAATAATTAATAGCAAGTGTGCGAGAGTTCTGCGGCTGTCACCGCCAGAAATCACAATTACAAGAACAGTTACATTGCGAACAAAGGGCCATTTCATTTTGAGGGAGGAGTGGGGAGGGGAGGGGGTGGGGTGGGGTGGAAAAGCGGCATGGTGTCCGGCAATTGTGCATTTTGTCAATGGGAATTAAATTGGCAGTCGTCGACTCTTAGAACGTCAACTCACACCAGCAGGAACTGACAGGACAGAAAATCCCGGAGAAGGGGAAGGAAAAGCTGAGGGGGAAGGGAAATGGGAATGTGACTAGGACTGCGACTGCCTCGAAACGGCAGGATGTCAAAGTTCCTAAAGGGACTTAGTCCGGGTGGTTCAATTGTGGGCATGTTGAGCGGTCTGTCCGCCGCACCGAGGATTCGGGATTCCGCACCGAGGATTCAGGATTCGATCGTTCAGTTGGCTGGCCATTCCCATCATTAGCGCCTGTACGTGTCAAATTGATGCTGTTATTGTTCTCCCCCAGCATTAGTTTTCTCTCTTTATATGTATATATGTGTGTGTGTGAGTGTGTTCGCATATCCTGGAATGGCCGTGAGTACTATTTGACATTTAGCTTAGCCGCGGGTGACAAATTTAATGGACGCACCAAGTCCTTTTGTGCGAGAGGGTGCTATTGATTTTCCTGCCTCGGCGAGAGCCATTCAATTGTTCGATTGTCTAATTACTGTTCTATATTCCAGACATTTGGCATAAATATTTAGTAAATACCAGCCGAAAGTGGAACAGCCCCCCAGCTGGCAGCATTCCGACCGCAAGATAAAGGTATTATGCCTTCCATTTAACCCTTTAATCCGTAAGGCTGACATGTGCTAAGGCGCTGAAAATCCCTATCTTGTGGTTCGTGACTTACCCATCACACGTACTCCGGAGTCGATATTTGAATTCCATAAATGGTAACCGAGCCACAAATTTGGATTCCACCGAAGTTATGCTTGATGGTTTCGTTGTGATTTCCCGCTCGCACTTGTGGCATAAATCAATTAGCCGTGGACACTTTTCCAGGCCGAGCCGAGCTCGTAAATTATAAAACGCCGTGAAGCACACACAAGTTTTGAATGAACAAGTCCAAAGTCGCAGAGTGCATTGGGCTTCGAATTACCTGCGGTATGTGGCCAGCTGGCTACGTGTCTTGGCCATATCTTAGATGGCCAAGCTTTTGGGCCCGCTCTCATATAAATTATTTTTGATTGATGCGGCTCGAAGAGACCGAGCACGTGCAACGGACTCGTTGAAATTCGTCAAAGAACCCAGCCCAGGAGAGCCCACCAAGATGATTAAAATGCAGCCAA